ATCTTATTTATTGGTTAGATAATATAAGATAGATATTTAAATATTTTCGCAGTTAAACTTGAAAGATAAATTTAGACTGATTTGCGTCTAATTTTGTGCAAATATATTGAAGACTAACTTGATGTTGAGGTCCGCTTTTCTTTTCGCAATTCTTCTCGGTCGCTCAGCTTTTCTGTGTCCGCAGCGTGACGTCAGATCTTTTCGATTTGGCGATAATTTATATAATGCAAATATAATATGCTCCTTGTGTGTTATTGGCAGGTGAAGAGGGTTTCGCTCGGAGTTGGCGGCGTTTTCGTGGAGCACCAAGACGATCTGAAACGAGGCGCTTGGGCCAACCAGATCGAATTTATTCTATCCTGCATTGGGTATGCCGTTGGCATCGGCAATGTTTGGCGTTTTCCTTTCTTCATATACCGCAATGGCGGTGGTACGTACGCTTGTAACTGTGGCCCACGTGTGTATCTGTCCCATGGTATACATGGGAAATACGTGCTCCAGATGCAACCGTCGTATTATATGTCGTACAGAGAGTGTCTCAGGTCGCGATGAAATTGTGTAGGCATGTTAAATGAGTAAAAGAAAGTGTTATATAAAAGTGTTGTATAGATCTATAAGTGCTTTATTAAACAACTGCGATAAAGAATCAGAAGGCGACAAATTTTAATTTCTATTTTTTTAATCAGCTTATATTAAAGCTATATTGAACAAATCGATTTTTATCGATAATATTTGAAGTGCTTTCTTGCTTGTAAAACATGATGTGGTACAGTTTAGCTACAGTTTGTTAAAACTTGGATCGCTCTGTATATCATATTGCGCTGCGCATAGTATCTTCGTTCTTATATAGCGTCGAAAAATTATAGATACAAACTTTAAGAAACTGATACGTAAACTTTAAGATTGCGCGTCGGGGATTCAAAAATAGTTGCCGTAAATAAGGATCCGGAGAGATTTTTTTGAAACTATAAAAATGATTTAGAACGAATACTTTTTAATAAATTAATTTCCATATAAGTTATCAAATTTTTTAAAGTAGTGCTGCGTATCGCTTTAATACTTAATGTTCGCATAGGAAAAGAATTTTCAAATTGATTGATAATAGTGGAAGAAGTAATTAATATCAAGAAAAATAATTAAGTTCTCAACAAATAATGTTAAACTGCAAATTTTTATATGTATATTAACTTTTATATGTATAATAACGATTAGTTGTACTATGTTATATTTTTCGTAATAGAATTATATTTTCTTCATTTAATGAAATATCGATAGTTATTATTATAATTATACTTATTGTATTTGATTTTAATATATTTTATATTAACTTTAGTGTACATTATATAAAAACTATAAAATACTATAAAATACTATAAAAACTATAATCAAATTGATATGAAAAGCTATGATTGCGTAATTAATTGTTACAGGTGCTTTTTTGATACCCTTTATTCTCATGTTGATCACGATGGGTTTGCCTATATTCTTCTTAGAGCTTTGTATGGGTCAGTACACTAGGCTAGGGCCTATAAAGGCTTTTAGCCGCATGGCGCCAGCTTTTCATGGCCTTGGTTACTGCACATTGGTCGTCATCTTCTTTGTGCTGATATATTACATGATAATAATCGCGTGGATATTATTTTACATTTTTATTTCTTTCTCATCAAAACTCTCTTGGGCGTACTGCGACAATGATTTCAACACGAATAGTAAGTAGAAATAAATCGATGTACTATACATTTAATTTATTGTCGTCGTATTTAAACAAACAAAAATTTAACTAAATTTCAACAAGAAACTAATTATTACAGTGACTAAACGTCTACTAGTATGAAATGGTCTTGAGTATTGCTATTAGCTTTTGTGATTACTTACATTGTTCAAGATTACGCAAGAACAATTTATACAAATCTAATTAAAAAAAATTTTAATTAATTAAGGAATCAATTAATTAATTAGCTTTTTAATATAAAGGAACATAAATTAACATCACTTTTTATGCAACTTGGACTTTGGTCAAACAGCTGAATAGTTGTAGGACATTTTTATTAAAAATGTTAAAGCAAGTAATTATTATATAATGTTAAAGCAACTAATTATTATATCACGTTTATTTTTGAGCTATATGTTTTAATGCTGATATCAATATAGATTGTTACAGCAACCTTCAAGCTGAAGAGTGCAAGACTAATTCAAGTTCTATATTTTACAATAAGACTTGCATAGCCATCCGCACGGTCTGTTCCAGTTTAGGTTATGATAGTTATAATAGTACCCATTGTTTAGCTCCCTCGAAAAACGCCGAAAAAGCGTTCGAGGATCTCTATCAGCGGGTACTGTCATCCGAGGAGTACTTCAGGTACAATATAGTCATCAGTCAGGGCTGGGCAAAATACATCATTAAAGTATTTGAAATACAAAATACAAAATATTGGCAATCTTATCTTAATATTTGAATTACAAAATACAAAATACTTTCAATCTTTCGATTTTGAAATACAAAGTACTTTTTTTAGTATTTCAAATACAAAATATGTCCAAAATTTGTATTTCAAATACAAAATACATTTTTTTTGAATACAAAATACAAAATATTTCCAAATTTTTTTTAATATAATATATTTCCAAATTTTTTTGCGTGCTCGGCACTTTTCCGACTAGTTACGACTACGACATCTACGTTCTTCTCTGTCTTACTCTATGTCACGATTACGACAGTTATATCTCGTTACGTCTCATTCTCTGCCTAATGTAGCTAGTAGGCCTGTCCGCGTTGCTTCAAGGATTTTTTTGGCATTTCAAATACAAGTATGACATATGAAATATGCCCAGCCCTGCCATCAGCGCTGCATCGTGTCGGGAGGATCGGTAACGAGCCTTTACGTCGCTGTCCAGCGTTGAGGAGCAAGACAAAAATTGTTGAGGATCACGCCTACAAAGCATGTAATTGTCGATCGCGTCCAGAGACTACGTTCTTGGTCTGCGCGGAGCCACATGGGAAAACTTTGGCGGCATACGATGGGAACTATTCGGATGCCTCACGCTAGCTTGGGTAGTGTGTTTCTTATGCCTGGTACGCGGTATCCAGACTATCGGCAAAGTTGTCTATTTCACCGCTCTCTTCCCTTACATCATTCTTACAATTCTTCTAATACGCGGTAAGAAATAGAAACAAAGCATTCTATAAGGCTTTCCTAAAAATATATATATAATATTTTTATTTGAACTTAATTCATTGTTTTATTTAAGTTTTAATCCATTAAAAAATACGTACATATTTGCACATACTCGCAACATATCAATTTTTATGAATAAAATCGATTAATAATAATAATTTTTAAGCTTTAATAAATTTAAAAGTAATGTTATTATTGTGTGTAATATTAAATTTCTTTTATGTGTTACAATGGCATTCGAATATAAGGATTCTTTACAATCTCAATAATTACAAATATTATTTATATTTATAATATATTGATAATTATACTACATATAAAATGGCCATTTATTTTGATCACGTAAAATATCTCCATTTACTTTTTAGAATAGGACAAAATGTAATCAAAATTAAAGTATATTATAGTAAAAATTTTTATGCTAAATAGATAAACGCAATTTATGAAAAAACGGACATGTTCAATTAATCACGATTGTGTCACATCTGATATATTTGAATTGTGTCGCTCGCTTTGGCTTGGAGATTTGCCAAGATAGATCATTTGTATTACTATACATGACATTAATGTGAGACTAGATAGTTCTATCATGACTAAGGAAAATAATCATAGGTGTTACACTGGATGGTGCCGATAATGGCATGTTGTGGTACATATATCCCGATTTTTCGAAGCTGGGAGGCGCAAATGTATGGGCAGACGCAGCCTCCCAAATCTTTTATTCGCTTGGCATCGGCTGTGGATCTCTGGTGACTCTCGCAAGTTATAGCAACTTTAGCAATAATTGCCACAGGTACGATATATTAAAATAAAACGTGTGCATTTCAGATAAAAGGAAGAAAAAAAGAGACTAGATCATTTGCGAATATAGGATACTTAATAATAGCGAAGCAGAAAGAAGTAGTTTTTAAAAACAGAATGTCTGATTTTACACGCCCATTCTTTAGGAAGGACGTACAAATTCGTCGCGCGTTTGATCGCGCGAATAATAATTTATCACAAGACGTGTATTTAATTAACTACACTGACTAAGCACTTTAAGCCTATTAATCTTCTGGTTCATCGTTCGGTGACGTTTCAGTCTCTTTACGACACTGCAATCGTTGCATATTTTATTTTAACTCGGGACTCGACGATGTCGTTTCGATGACGAGCGGTGACCGGGTGTCGTCGCGACCAGCTGACGTAATTCCGAAACTGGCTCAACTATAAAATATAATAATAATAATAGTAATAATAATAATAATAATAATAATAATGAGTTTGTGAAGCTAAAGACAATATTATACTATTATAGATAATTTTAAGCATAATAATCTAACTAATAAGAATGATTTGTAAACATGACAATTTTCTATCTGCTTCTTTTGAATAACATCTCGTGATATTCTTGAATAACGTATGTGATGTTTTATACCTAAAAGACGAGCAAGACAAATCCTTTATACACAGAATATAAGAAAAAATGAGGGATATGAGGAATACTTTGGGATTGTATTGAAGATTGGGAAAACAAGAAAGAATTCGATACGGTGGAATATTTTAGTTTTTTATTTTAAAAAGAGATGAACGTACTTTTCCTAAAGCGACACATATTTATATTTTATTTTTATTTAAGAGAATTATTTTACATTAACATCTCATACGTATTCGTTGAGCGTACAGTAATTTGAATTTTGTCTTTCTATTCTCAGAGATGCTATTTTCGTCACCTGCACCAATCTATTCACATCTGTTTTCGCCGGCTTGGTGATATTTTCGATACTTGGATTTCTGGCCCAGAAAATGGGTATACCGATCGACAAGGTGGTCCAGAGCGCAGAGGGATTGGCTTTTGTCGCTTATCCAGAGGCGGTGGTGCAGATGCCGTGGTCGAATCTCTGGGCCATCTTGTTTTTCGTTATGCTCTTCATACTCGGTCTCGGTAGTCAGGTAAGCATGCGAGCTATTTACGCTTTATATCAAGAAAACACGGTCGTATCTCACGTATACATATTGCATGATTTTTGATCTTACGAATTTCCGTTCGCGCCGTAGCGACAATAAACGCGAATGAGAGATATTATCGTATGAACATTTAAAGGAGCTATAAAAGATTTTATTTTCATTTTCACGCAAAAACCACTTCCACTCTTCGTCACTTACGGTGATGAAAAAAAAATAATTATTAATGCGATGAGCTCGGCTGAGATAGGAGTAGCAGGGAAGTGGGGAAGAAAGAGAGGAAAGTGAGAGATGTGAATTTCAATTTTCTTTCGCATAACGAGAAACATCGCCGCGTTAACTGCATTTGTTCTAACGAATTGTATATTTACAAGATGGCCCGACTTTCGCCTTCTTGCACTTCGCGCGACTCTCTGGTTATAATAGCGTAATGGCAAAATAGTGAAACAAAATAATATGTGCGACATAAACAATAATCATGCGGCTTAAATTTTTCCGATGTAATTCAGGATCTTTATTTTTTTTTAATTATTTTAATTAATACATAAAAATTTATAAACATAAACGTATAAAAAGAAAAATAAATATAATTTTATGTTAGAGCACACTAGTTTTAATATAAAAAGCGTAATAGTTAGTATTTCATTCCATTGCTCTAACAATTATAAAAAGCTTGTCGTATTGTATCTCGAGAAAGAGACATTACACTCTAAAACATTGTAAGATCGTAAACTTTTACGCTTTTACGCGATGTTATAAATATCAATCTCAACTTTACTAATCACAATCAATTGTCAATTTTGTATAGTACGATCTAATACATCACGAAGTTAGACTCGTGATATACGGGTTTTTCCTCACATATGCTTTATGCACCTGTGCAAATAGATCTTTGCAGTTATAACGCGCCTGTTAAAAAGTTATACAAAATTACAAAACAAACTCGCGTGAGATACGGTCATTGTGTATGTACTATAGCTTCCATCATTCATCGGCGTGGTTATTTCGCGAAGATTTCACATCCGTTCCGGTGCTAAGAAGGCGCCATTCAGTCTTGAGAAACGGTCGGCGTATTTGTCAAAAGATGCCGCGGGCGTGAGAGGGATGCCTCATCCCGGCGAGTAGCCGGACGGTGATCGTTTCGCGTTGCTTTTGCATCGCGAGACTCTCATCTTTTCACCTCGGGGCTCGTATATCACGGAAGGAATTATGGCTCGCCGTCTCAGAGTGAAATCCACACCTTCTTCTCCTCCTCTCGCGATGTCAGCTCCGCTCGCTTCTTCCGTTTTTCCAGCGGTTCGCCGATGATACCAAAGCGCAGCCACGAGCGAGCTGCGAGAGATCGTAAAATATACCCCCCGTGAATATGCGAATACAATCGAGCGTGATACATTTGTTATGATATAAATGGTGATTGAGAGAACGGGCTCGAAGTTCGATTTCTTTTACTCCGTGTCGAAATTTAGACGCTTTCGGATTGAGAACGCGTACTTATTGCTATGAGAATAAGAATAAATGGAAAAAAGAGGAGAGATATAGAAACAGAAAGTAGGAAAGGAAGAGAGGAAATGGCGATGCGCGCGGGGAGAAGTTGAAGAAGAAGGAAAATGCGCGGCCGCGCGGTCGTTACTTTTTACGATGCAGTTCGCAGGCGTGCAAGCGATAAACACCGCCATACTGGACTGGCGTCCGGATTTGCGAAAATACGAGAGTTTCGTAGTACTGGCTATATGCACTACCTGCTGGCTCCTGGCGATTCCGATGGTATTCGACGGTGGTATCTACCTGTTCAAGCTGATGGACTGGCATACCGCCTCTTGGGCGGTCCTATTGATCGGCTTCGCTGAACTCATTGTGGCTTCCTGGTTCTATGGATGTAACAGATTTCTAGCTAATCTCACCGAAATGAAAATTAAATTCGGCTATTTCCTTCATGGTTATTGGTGGATCTGTTGGGTCGCTCTCGCACCCATTACTTGTCTAGTAAGTGCTCTTTACTTACCGTAATATTTTGCAGTTTTCGCACAGCAAGATATCTGCTGTAACATAAATTTTAGGTAGATAGGTCAGTCAGTAGAAAGAATTTCGACATTGATAAATCTTTTTATTGATGATCTTGTTATTTCAATGTCAAATTTAAATATGTATAAAGATGAATTCCGGTATTATATGTAACTTATACGTAAAAAAATAGTCATGTAGACTAAGTAAGTTCTTTTTATTGCTAAATAATGCATTTTTTAAGTCATTCTCAAATCAATATTTATGGTAATTTATATTATGTATGGGTGTATATTCGAAATAACAATATTTTAAATATTATGTATTAGAAGTGTAATTTATTTTTTGCAAGAGATGGCACTAATGTCGAAGACATTCCATTCACTATTTATTTTTTTAATGTTTTAATATTATTCATCGACATAGAATGAGACCACCGATGATAGTGGTGGTGATAGAAAGACGAGTAGAGTGAAAAGTAGATAAATGAATGAAGGCTTTAATAAACAGAGAAAGACGTTCATCCATGTATTTGTCTCTCACTCTACTTGTTTTTCTACTCCCACTACTGCCATCGTTGATCCATTCTATGTTGATATTACTCCATGATATTTAGTCGATTTACAATAAATGCAATAAATATCGCATTTATACCAAAAAATGGAGCTTCTTAAAAAGCATTTTCGATGTGCGTTATTTTTGTTTCTCAATTAGAAGAAAACGGCGCGGTCATAGCTGAAGGTCATAGAATTCTGATAGAAACTTATGATGATGTTGCTCTATCAATTAAGACATGTAAATATCGATTTTATCGTTTAAAAAGTGATGATTTCAATGTTAATGACAAAGTTGATAAATGCAAGCATTATTGGACGAAAATCTAGCACAATCCATTTTAGAATTTGTCAGAGAATTAAATGTTGATCATACAATAGTTATTAAACGTGTACGTGACATATTGTTTGAATAAATCAGTTTTTGTGAGAAAAAAACCTTCAAAATTAACTCACACTCCTAATAATATTTTTATTTTCAAATACCTGTAAAGTTTGTATATGTTTATTAAAAGCTCCAATAATGTCGAATTAATTATAGTTGCCATAATTAACGTTATACATAATAAAGATACATAAATTATAATAAGATACATAAAATATAAATTATAATTTATATTTTCATTTTCATTATTTATTTATAAATACTATATCTATTTTTTTATCATAGTTGCGTGCGCGCGCGCGCGTGTGTGTATGTATGTATTACTTAGCTAGGCCATCTTTCCTTAAAAGTCAAGTTAAATAGGTAATTTATCTATCTACATTATGTAATATTTTGATAATATTAAATTTCTGTTAAGTGTTTTTTCTTTAGTTTCGATACTTATTATTACTTTAATCTAGTGAAGGGATACCAAATACAATATACCAAATACAATATTAGAAAATAACAAAAATGAAAGTATATTTTTTGCATTTTAAAAAACTATGGCCATCTTATTCAAGTTACCCTATCTACTTAGTGCAATTATTTATAGAAGTTTAATAAAAATTTAAAAAAGGATTTAATGTTATTTTTATAAAATTCAATAGAAATTTAAAAATTTAAATAAATGCTAAATAATTTTAGTTGAATATGTTTAGAAGAATAGTCTAGTTTAACGTGGTAATCGATATGTAGATAACTATACATGAAAATGTTTTATTTTAAATGAAAAATTTAATTCAGATAATGTTCAAATATTTCGTCTGTTACATAATCGATGTTTATCAATAAAATATAATTGAAATACATTCTTGAAATACATCCTGCATCTGCAACGAAATTATTAAAAAGATATTTATTATTAAATTTTGTGAAAATTAGCAATTGAATCCCTTTCGAAAACAGCGTCATGGGAAACAATAAAACGATCCTTCAGATAATATAAATTTTGCATCATCTTATTTTTCATTGTTATATTTGAAATAAATTATTACTGTTCTTATCTCTACACGTGATCGTGAATAAACTACACAATTAAAACTTTAAACGACAACTGTGTATATTGTTATTCCAATGTGTGTATATTGTTATGATACAATCGGTGATAATAATGAAAGGAAGACCATCACAGACGATGCTTAATCCTGTCGAGGTAAGGAGCCTACCTTTATTGACTGTAAACTTTGCGGAAAGTTCAGCGACATAGTGAGAGAGAATAAACCGTAAATTAGTCCCGACCTATCGCGTGGAGACGATTAATCGAATTTATATGGAAAGTAATGAAACTAAAGCTTTAGGTTATCGATCGCCAAGGAGCTTATTAAAAGTGAAGTAACGCGTGAGAAAATTTGTCAGAAATATTCCGACAAATTTTTCAATTTGTATAAGCTCTCTCTCTCTCTCTCTCTCTCTCTCTCTCTCTCTCTCTCTCTCTCTCTCTCTCTCTACTTTGTAAAGAGTTTAAAAAAAATGTGTAACAATGTTTTGGAAAAACTGTTTTAAATAGAAATATTATTGTAGGTTCTTTTAAATGGCAAAGTGATAAAAATCAGTTTTATTAGTAGATATAAATGTAAATAAATTTAGAAGCACTTATAATATGTATTATCTGCCTTTATTATCACCGACTACTATCTATTACTATCATCATACATATATCAGTGTTGTTTTGTGTAAAAGTTTTAATTGTTGTGTAGTTTATTCACAATCGTATAGGAATAAGGACCGTAATAATTTATTTCAATAATAATGAGAAATCAAGGCGATGTAAAATTAGGGTCTATATACATATGCAAATAGTAATTTGATGTTTATATATATCTATTAATTTAATAAATAATTATTCATTAATTAAATTAATTAATAAATATTCTTATGCATTTGTACAAATTATAATTATGTAATGGAAGTAAAATATCGAATGTTTATAAATACAATTTAAAACTTAAATTAAAGATTTAAATTTGCTGTTGATAAATAATTTGTGCGTTTAATACAATAAAAATGAAATAAGCAGAATTGAAAATTTAATTAAAATGAGCAAATTAAAAAATTCCTTACTTTGTTTTATTATA